CCCTGAGTAGACATGGTCTAGAGGGGCGGGGGAAAATAAATAAATAAATAAATAAATAAATAAATAAATAAATAAATAAATAAATAAATAAATAAATAAATATGGCCATTCCCCCCCACCCCAAGTCCTCTGCAGAGCCTTGTGAAGCCTTAGAGCAGTATGACAGTGGAACCAGTGACCTCGGGAGTAGGTGGGGGCTCCAACACTGGAGACATTCGAGAAAAACTTAGATCAACCCCTGGCAGATCTACTTTGATGGTATTCCTACCTTGAGCAGGGAGGTTGGACTTGATGGCCTTGTAGGTCCCTTCAAATTCACTTTTCTATGATTCCATGATAAGCCCATGTAAATAGCTGCAGCTGCATCCATGATGGGACCCCAGGTCTAATTCCACTGCTTTGCATGCAATGTATGTTGCAGCCATCTGGACTTGCATAGGGAGACCCAAGGGTGGAACAAAACCTGGACACAACATCTCTAGTGGTCATCAAACCTATGCTCATTCCCAAAGCTTTCAAGGTGAGCTTAAAATGTCTTTTTTTTCCTTTTGGAAATTCTGGACACAGCACATATTTCTTTAAATGTTTTAGGAACACCCTCCTGGCCATGTAGACCCAAGCAGATACAAAGGCATTGTGATGTCTTCCCTTCAGGCTCTATTGCTCATATATTTTCTTGAATAATACTGTATATTTGTTCAATCAACTATATACATTATTGAGGGGAAGTTGATTCTGTCTGCCATGCTGGCAGTTTATTTTTCATTGCATGGCCAGAGCCACTCATCATCCCACAATTTTGATACTTGGAATTCCCCGACTCATCAGAACTTGCTGTCCCCTTACCCTTGCCAATCATTATATAGTAGTTAAATCTCCATCAATTAGAAGAAGATTCTGGGTGTCTCCAGCTCAAGATGGATCTTTGCTAGCTTTGTCACTGCTGAATGTTCATCATTCAGATTCTTCATCTATGACTCTGTCACTGACTAGTGGACCCCATCTTTCTTCTCCTTAAAAGTTACGAATAAGTTGAGCTTTTGAGTTCTACAGAATTGTTCAGCTTGCAAAGATGGATATAAAGTTGGTATTTGTAACTTTTAAGCAATTGAATCAAAGCACTGCCTCCCCCCTTTTTTTATCACACAGAACTACAATGAATGTAAAATTAGCACAATGTTGTACCAAAATATGTAGCCGGTAATGAACGGCTTCAAAGGAGGATAGTCTGGTTCATGGAGCACAATGGCTGCTCAAGGTTCCTGCACTGATGAGGGTTGGACTAGATGGCCTTCAGTATCCTTCCAATGCTGTGGAGCAGAAACAGACAGGTACACATCCAGCTTGTGCCCCTTTTTAAGTCACCAAGGCCAAAGGATATGGGACTGTATAGTCCTTTCTCAATTCAGCCGAGTTTTTCCAAGGTTTGATTTCTTTATTTAGAGTTCCACCTATTTCCAGCATTTTCTCCAATGTGCTCCAGTGGGTGTGCGTGGTGCTGTTCCACAGGAGTTTATTGTCACAACAACCTTATAAGGTAGGTCCCACAAAGCCAGAGTGACTGGTTTTGAGGTCATCAGCCAAGCTTTGTGTCTCTGTAAGCAGAAGAGTCAAACCTGCACAAGTTCAAATCCAAAACACTAACCACTGCGCCATACAGCTCTCTTCTTAAGAGGTGTTAAGATCCGTTGGGCCAGGTTGAAAACAGTGTTGTTGGATCACAATTATGAGAAAAATCCTGAGCAGGCATCTTGGGATGCCCAGTTGAGGAAAATTTGTTTGTTTTGAAGAGAAACACTCAAGGAACAGCTTATGTATCACTTTACCCTTTTAAAAAAATCTATCTCTAGAGGCACAAGTAGCATCTGAACTTCCTGTCTATGCTTCATGAAAACCTAAAATTGCTCCATAGAGATAGAAATAATAGAAGAGACACATAAATCCTCAGATGATACTGTAGTGTGATTCGCGATGGTTCTTTGTTTTTGTAGTGCAAACGCTGCGCTT